GGAGAGTGAGAGATTGAGAGAGTGAGAGATTTGGGGGAAGTGAGAGACTTAGGGGGAGTGAGAGATTTAGGGAGAGTGAGAGATTTGGGGAGAGTGAGCGATTTAGGGAGACTGAGAGATTTAGGGAGATTAAGAGATTTAGGGAGATTGCGACATTTAGGGGGATTGAGAGATTTAGGGAGATTGAGAGATCTAGCGAGATTGAGAGATCTAGGGACATTGAGAGATTGAGAGATCTAGAGACGATTGAGAGATTTCTAGGGACATTGAGAGATCTAGGGAGATTGAGAGATCTAGGGAGATTGAGAGATCTAGGGAGATTGAGAGATCTAGGGAGATTGAGAGATCTAGGGAGATTGAGAGATCTAGGGAGATTGAGAGATCTAGGGAGATTGAGAGATCTAGGGAGATTGAGAGATCTAGGGACATTGAGAGATCTAGGGACATTGAGAGATCTAGGGACATTGAGAGATCTAGGTGTTACCGACCCGCCACTATCTGATGGAAAACAACCTCTATTATGTTTCACAGGAGGTGGACACCAGGGCGATAACTTTATTTGAGCAATACAGAACCTGACAGAATCGACCGCGAATCGATTCCGCAAGCTGTCACTTGTTCCTGACTACTGGCGGCTCGAGACCGCCGTTTTGTCTACGGCCTCCTCGCCGTTTTCCCCCTTTCCCTGGAAGCCCGCGAAAGCTTCTCCAAGTGGCTTTCGCGTCGTACTGAGTTTCTCTACCTAAGATTTAGATCCACCGAACTGTTAGTTCGTGACACTCCCCCCCGAATTGGGTCGCAAACCCAATTCCGAAAGCTTTGTCCTCCGGAAGCAGCTGGTTATCCTTCTCGGGTTGGCCCTCGTGGGCATTTTCCTCTCTCACAAACTCGAACTCGCTCCGTGAAATCGAGCCCCTCGACATGCGCCATCTTCCTTTTCGGGCTCGCCCTTTCGACTGCACGATAATCTCTACCTTTATCGAAATTTTTTTTTTACCCCCGAATTCGTCGATTTCTACGAAAAATGGTTGGAGTACGAAGGAACTCGGACTCTCGGTCCGAGAGTCGTCCCAGTGGTCGGCGTTCGAGTCATCGTGTCCGGGCCAGACGTCCGACCGCTCTCCGTCGCGAAGCTCGTGGTCCGTCCACTCTGCCCCGCACCATCGGAAGCCGTTCCACTCGGCGGACCTTCCACAACTCTCCCTTCGGTTGCTACATCTCCTCCCGTTTGCGGCGGGAGCGAGGATTGCGAGGTCTTACGGGACAGATGTTGTATCGTCTACTCCGTCCGACCTGGCGTAGCCTAAGTGTCTCGGCTCGTGCTCCATGTTTTGAGGAATCCCGGCGTCTTCGCGCAACCGGCCAGCATCCGAGATTCGCGCCACGGTACGTCTGCGGTGTCTTCCCTGAGTCAATTCTCCGTCGTCCGGGTTCCCCACCGCTCCGGGCCAGGCCCGCCACTGAGGTCGATCTCCGAGTCGGCGACGAAAGGGTCCCCGACGATGACGACTCCGACGATGTCGCCGACCACGACGATGCCGCCAACGAATCCGACGGCGACGACAACGATGATGATCGAAGCGAGACCGACGCCGAGAACGACGGCCTGGTAGACACCTCCGTCCCCGACCCCCCGAGTTCCGCTCAGGCGGTTGCTGCTGACCTCGAGACCGGCCGACTGCCCGTCACCCGCTTCTGCCGGGTCCGCACTCGCCTTCGGTCCCGAGTCCTCATCCCCCGGTACATCAAGAGCGCGCAACGACAACGACGAATAACCTCGGGCGAAATTCTCAAGCGACAGTTTTCCGATCTGTCGTGGACTATTGAGCGAGATATCGAGGTGGACGTCCAGGAAGAGTCTGAGGGCACGGACGCCGACGAAATCAGCGTTCACATCTCCGGAACCGACCTCCGCTCAAGCGAGGAAGAGCGAGAAGACGACGACGACGAAAACGATGGAAGAAGACGATCGGCGGTTTCCTGTGAGTGATTTTACCTAGCACGTATAAATATTCGATCCTGGTGGACTCCGCCGAATCGCTACTTCTGAAGCGGTTCCGGTTCTTCGGTGTCCAGCGGGTATAATAGTTGAATCGGTCGGGTCAGAGTTTGTCCGCGACCGGTTAGAATTGTGCACGAGCGCTTTCTGGAGTCGGATTCTGAGCCTCCGTGCATCTCGAGGATTCTCACCAGCGGCCAGAAACCGCGGGAGGATTTGTCATCTTTTAAGACGCAGATCTCTCCGGCTTTCAATGAGCGCTGATTCACAGGTTTCCTGCTATGAGCTGATCGCAATTGAGCTAGGTATTCTGTGCGGAATCTCTTCCAGAAGTCCGTCAGCATTCGTTGCTGGAAATTCCATCGCTTGGAAAATACCACTGCTCCAATGTCTGCTTTTCGCTTAGGTTCGAAAGACATTTCCGGCAAAAAATGTATTTCCTTCATAGCCGTACATCAGATTTGCCGGAGAGAGCGCTTTGATCTCGCTCGGATCAATCGTCGCCGGTGTTAATGGTCTCTGGTTGATGATCGATTCCACACCGCATAGGATAACCTCTAGATCCCTGAAGTATGGTTTCGAACTACCGATCACACGATATAGACATCGCTTAGTGGATCCGACCATTCTTTCCCAAAAGCCGCCAACCCAGGGGGCCGCCGGAGTGATGAATTTCCACGACATGCGAGATTTTGTGATCCAGTTCGCGATGTCACCGTTCGCAATGTGTTGATAGACCAACTTGATCTCCTTGTCTGCCCGACGGAAGGAAGCTCCGTTGTCGGAGAAGAGGTTCTTCGCGGTTGGGCGTCTAGCCAGGAATTTCTGAAGTGCTCGGAGCACTTCGTAGGTTGAGAGATCGTAGGTCATCTCTAAATGCACAGCTCGAGAAACTGCGCATGTGAACAGGAGGATGTAGGCTTTCGCCTCAGCGCTAAGCTCCGATCTGCAGTGGAATGGCCCCGCGAAATCTACTCCGCAAA